CTAGGCATTCATCTTTCCTGTTCAACTTGGGGTCTTTGGCGCGTATCCAGAAGGCCTCCAAAGTTTTGCGGGCTGAAGTGTGAGGCTCTCGCGACAAGATCCTGACAGAGACTTGGAACTCCGCCCCTCCGTGCCCGTACACTCTGTGTCCACCCAGGGGGGTCTGAGGCCTCGATTTCTTCATCCCGTCCAGATGTTCCTTAACCCTGGAGCAAAGTGGTCGCCCGGTTTCGCCGATGTATTCGTCCCCACAGAGGGTGCATGAGATCAGGTAGATCACACCTGATGCCATGCAGTCACCCTGCTTCCCATGTGGGCAGATAACACAATGGGGGTAAGGCAATACCGGTCGTACCAGCGATTGCGGACCAACTGATTGCTGAAGCCGTCCACAGTGAGTCAGTTTAGCGGTGGTCGAAACTCGAGCTAGCCGTGCGTTCCTAAGGTTAGTTGTTTTGTGCTTGTGAGTACGAGACCTCCCTAGGTCACCTTATCTTTCACTTTCCAGGCTCCGACGAAGGCGACAAGGCCGAAACGTCAGCCAAATAAAGTTGGCTGTGGTTTGATCATCTAATCAGAAGGACTTCACACGATGCCAAGATTCACTGAAAGTCTCATGGATGCTGATTGGTCTTTCCATTCCAGGTACGTCAGGTCCATACCATCAACCATTGGCGACTGCGGTGAAGATGATGTCCTAGACCGTGGCGACGTTGTCGGAGCTGCTCGATGTTGGAGGTCTTCCAGATCGAGAGTACTGGTCTCCAGGTAGCTATCCATGGGTGACTTGGTGTACATGAAGGTGATGGGCGAGAGCCAGCTCCTGCTTATCGAGGAACATCTTGGGTATCTTCCGCCCTGGTACTCGTATCCACGTCTCTGTCTGGGCTGCAAAAACTTTGCTGATATGTGACTCGGTCGAAGTGACTTTTTTTGCCCCCCCCCCCTGTACTGTTAACTTCAACAGAAGCTTGTATGTCAGGCGTTTACAGGCATGCCACCCTTCGCTCAAGGTTGATGGCGCCGTTCGATGCGTGGCACATCCCCATAAGCTTCAAGGTATTGGAAAACCCGAGCACCTACCTAGACTTCTTCGTAACTGTACATTATACCTATCGTCAGGCCTAGCTTTCAGCTCAGAGCTGTGCCGTCGATTCTCGTCATACCACCTTTTGTAGTCGTAGGTGGACGTTGACAACCTGAACACCGCGATATTTGTCAAAATTGACTTGAATATTCGATTCGAGTTATCCACCTCATCGCCTCTTCCGCTCAACTCACCTAATTTGTTTTCCATATTTCTCTAAACATTCCGTAAATGGCAGTATTAGCAGGATTATTATAACCATTACATATGAAACACCTAAATAGATAGCCAACGAGTATAACTGGGAAACATCAATGGAACAAGCAAGAAATACAACTGATTAGATCGAGACCAACATAATTACTCCACAAGAACATTAAATGACATAAAATACCACGAGAAATCGGGAAAACGCTGTACTTGGAGGTTTGGTGTTGAGCGGTGTCAAGAGCACGGCACATCCTGTCGCTGGCGAAAAAAAATTTCGTAAAAATACCACCGTTTTTCAAACCACCTGATGCCAGCCTCCCAACGATAAGGATAAAGAAAAATAAACTATCAAAAAAATGTCTGGGGCCAAACGATTCCCCTCCCTGCTGCAACCAAATGCGAGCCCCCGCTGGAGATTCCCCTATTCCCCAGCGTATAACGTGCCCCAGACAGAAGCATGAAACGCAGCTTGGCTCACTCGTGCCCCTGTCAGAAGGCACGAAATAGCGTTTCCTGCTGATGGTTGTTGGTTCAGGCAGAAAACAGCTTTGATAGAAAACATCACTGATTGGTTCAATTCAGCCCTACCAACACCGCCCCGCTTGATTGTGACGATATCAGCTGTACATGTCAGTTTGTTCTACAAATTCGATCGCGGCGCATGGCAACTCAGTCCTTTCAGATTTTTGGAACGAGAACCTTCGGTGGCATAGCTCTTTGTACACAGCGCAAACATTCATTCAAATTCTAGGAAATTCCAAGCGAAAAGAAAATCGCACCGCAGGTTCTTTGAGGTAACTTTTTGCTGCAAATCGTGAGCGTAGAGGTCTGAAACTACGAGAGCGCTCATAATCTGCTAGAAAAATCTACTTGCTGCGAATCGACCGCAGAGTAATTGCAAAACCTAGTCTGCAAACCTATTTACAAGCGCGTCATCGTACTTCCCACGCTTTTTTGATGTCATCAACATAAAATGAAAAAAATGAAAAAAACAAAATCAAAGGATCAGAAATAATCGTGCACAATGGGCCTATGCAATGAACTAATGGGGCTATGGCGCAGTTCGACTTGGTGGGGGCATTTTGCTGGATCCCATCGACCACTGCCGACGCTTGTAAACACTTATAGAGCTATACATTACATGAGGTTCGCTTACACTTAACAGGAGTCTACAGGCCTCACCAAGGTGCGACGTGAAAGTTGCAGGAACCAGTGAAAGAAACTAGCGTGTTTGAAGAATGCCCACCTAAGCCGAACAGCGCCAGTGGGGGCAGGGCCCGCCATCGCGTTGTGACGAATTCCTGCGGAATGTGACCCTCCCCCTGATTCCATCCTCTGATACGACCCCATCCTACCTACCTCTTTTTCCAGTTTTT